CCCTAATCTCATTTTGTCAATTTCACAATTTCAATTTTTTAACCGTAACTTCAGATTTTCGAACATAAACCACTCTGGAGATTTTTTTAAACGATGCGCCAATGTCTCCTTTACAACACCTATATAGTCGTTGCCCGTCACAATCTCTTGAAATTGGTCCAAAATTAACTTAAATTGGCCTACCCCCCTTAACTCATTTTGTCAATTTCACAATTTCAGTTTTTTAACCGGAACTTCAGATTTTCGAACATAAACCACTCTGGAGAATTTCTTAAACGATGCGCCAATGTCTCCTTTACAACACTTATATAGTCGTTGCCCGTCACAATCTCTTAAATTGGTCCAAAATTAACTTAAATTGGCCTGCCCCCTAATCTCATTTTGTCAATTTCACAATTTCAGTTTTTTAACCGTAACTTCAGATTTTCGAACATAATCCACTCTGGAGATTTTCTTAAACGATGCGCCAATGTCTCCTCTTCAACACCTATATAGTCGTTGCCCGTCACAATCTCTTGAAAATGGTCCAAATTTTTCTTTTAGTGCCCTACCCCCCTAATCTCATTTTGTCAATTTCACAATAAAATTTTCAGTTTTTTAACCGTAACTTCAGATTTTAGAACATAAACCACTCTGGAGATTTTCTTAAACGATGCGCCAATGTCTCCTCTTCAACACCTATATAGTCGTTGCCCGTCACAATCTCTTTAAAATGGTCCAAATTTTTCTTTTAGTGCCCTACCCCCTTAATCTCATTCTGTCAATTTCACAATAACATTTTCAGTTTTTTAACCGTAACTTCAGATTTTCGAACATAAACCACTCAGGAGATTTTCTTAAACGATGCGCCAATGTCTCCTCTACAACACCTATATAGTCGTTGCCCGTCATAATCTCTTTAAAATGGTCCAATTTTTTCTTTTAGTGCCCTACCCTTTAATCTCATTTTGTCAATTTCACAATACCATTTTCAGTTTTTTAACCGTAACTTCAGATTTTCGAACATAAACCACTCTGGAGATTTTCTTAAACGATGCGCCATTGTTTCCTCTACAACACCTATATAGTTGTTGCCCGTCAAAATCTCTTGAAATAGGTCCAAAATTAACTTGAATTGCCCTACCCCCCTAATCTCATTTTTCAATTTCACAATAAAATTTTCAGTTTTTTAACCGTAACTTCAGATTTTCGAACATAAACCACTCTGGAGATTTTCCTAAACGATGCGCCAATGTCTCCTCTACAACACCTATATAGTCGTTGCCCGTCACAATCTCTTAAAATTGGTTTAAAAATAGCTTAAATTGGCCTAACCCCAAATCTCATTTAGTCAATTTCACAATTTCAGTTTTTTAACCGGAACTTCAGATTTTCGAACATAAACCACTCTGGAGATTTTCTTAAACGATGCGCTAATGTCTCCTCTACAACACCTATGTAATCGTTGCCCGTCACAATCTCTTGAAATTGGTCCAAAATTAACTTAAATTGGCCTACCCCTAATGTCATTTTGTCAATTTCACAATTTCAGTTTTTTTAAGCGTATTTTCAGATTTTCGAACATAATCCACTCTGGAGATTTTCTTAAACGATGCGCCAATGTCTCCTGTACAACACCTATATAGTCGTTGCCCGTCACAATCTCTTTAAAATGGTCCAAATTTTTCTTTTAGTGTCCTATCCCCCCCCCGCCCCCCTAATCTCATTTTGTCAATTTCACAATTTCAATTTTTTAACCGTAACTTCAGATTTTCGAACATAAACCACTCTGGAGATTTTCTGAAACGATGCGCCAATGTCTCCTCTACAACACCTATATAGTCGTTGCCCGTCACAATCTCTTGAAATTGGTCCAAAATTAACTTAAATTGGCCTACCCCCCTTAACTCATTTTGTCAATTTCACAATTTCAGTTTTTTAATCGGAATTTCAGATTTTCGAACATAAACCACTCTGGAGAATTTCTTAAACGATGCGCCAATGTCTCCTTTACAACACTTATATAGTCGTTGCCCGTCACAATCTCTTAAATTGGTCCAAAATTAACTTAAATTGGCCTGCCCCCTAATCTCATTTTGTCAATTTCACAATTTCAGTTTTTTAACCGTAACTTCAGATTTTCGAACATAAACTACTCTGGAGATTTTCTTAAACGATGCGCCAATGTCTCCTCTTCAACACCTATATAGTCGTTGCCCGTCACAATCTCTTTAAAATGGTCCAAATTTTTCTTTTAGTGCCCTACCCCCTAATCTCATTTTGTCAATTTCACAATAAAATTTTCAGTTTTTTAACCGTAACTTCAGATTTTAGAACATAAACCACTCTGGAGATTTTCTTAAACCATGCGCCAATGTCTCCTCTTCAACACCTATATAGTCGTTGCCCGTCAAAATCTCTTTAAAATGGTCCAATTTTTTTCTTTTAGTGCCCTACCCCCCTAATCTCATTTTGTCAATTTCACGATAAAATTTTCAGTTTTTTAACCGTAACTTCAGATTTTCGAACATAAACCACTCTGGAGATTTTCTTAAACGATGCGCCATTGTCTCCTCTACAACACTCATATAGTCGTTGATCGTCACAATCTCTTGAAATTAGTCCAAAATTAACTTGAATTACCCTACCCCCTAATCTCATTTTGTCAATTTTACAATAAAAGTTTCAGTTTTTTAACCGTAACTTCAGATTTTCGAACATAAACCACTCTGGAGATTTTCCTAAACGATGCGCCAATGTCTCTTCTACAACACCTATATAGTCGTTGCCCGTCACAATCTCTTGAAATTGGTCCAAAATTAACTTAAATTGGCCTAACCCCAATCTCATTTAGTCAATTTCACAATTTCAGTTTTTTAACCGGAACTTCAGATTTTCGAACATAAACCACTCTGGAGATTTTATTAAACGATGCGCCATTGTCTCTTCTACAACACCTATATAGTCGTTGCCCGTCAAAATCTCTTGAAATTGGTCCAAAATAAACTTTTTTTTTTTTAATTTTCTTTAACGATGCGCCAATGTCTCCTCTACAACACCTATAGAGTCGTTGCCCGTCACAATCTCTTGAAATTGGTTCAAAATTAACTTAAATTGGCCTACCCCCCAATCTCATTTTGTCAATTTCACAATTTCAATTTTTTAACCGTAAATTCATATTTTCGAACATAAACTACTCTGGAGATTTTTCTAAACGTTGCGCCAATGTCTCCTCTACATCACCTATAGGCAGTCGTTGCCCGTCACAGTCTCTATGAATGGGTCAACAAACAACTTAAGGTATCCCCCTTTTTGTTTTTAATTACAATTTTTTCAACCTAACTTCAGATTTTTAACATAAACCATCCTGGAGTTCGTCTTAATAGATACGCTTATGTCTCAGCTGCATCACCTATGCAGTCGTGTACCGTCACAATCTCTATAAATGGGTCAAAAATCAACTTAATGTATGCCCCCTCCTCCCTTTTCGTTTTTACAATTATTTTTTTTAAACTTAACTTCAGATTTTTAAACATAAACCATTCTGGAGTTTGTCTTATTAGATACGATAATGTCTCCTCTATGTTACCTTTACAGTCGTTGCCTGTCACAATCTCTATAAATTGGTCAAAATCTTTATGGTATCCCTTTTGTTTTAATTTTTTTTATTCGTTTTTGTTTAATATTTTGAATATTCTCATAATTGTCCGCTAGGTCTCTGTAATTGTTCGCTAGCTCGAAAAAAACGTGATTGTCTTATGTGAAATTGTGGTTTTTAGTTATACCTCCTAATTGTTCGCTGGCTAATTGTTCGCTACAATTGTTCGCTAGCTTGAGTCAAGTTACACCAGGGACATATAATACTATCAAATAAAATGAACTCTGACATAATTTATCAAGTGTTAATTATTTAATATCAGTTTTTTTTTAATACAATATCAAATTATGTCTCTTTTTCAATAATACAAATCTAAAATCAAAATTACATTAAAATAAATAATTATATATGTACTCAAATTATTTAATTAATTGTGATAAATTTAACACTGAAACAGTTTATGTTATGCTTAAACATTCGTCCTTACTTCGAGTACTTTTAATACTTTTATTAATGACTGTCTTACGTAAGGAGATCTCGCGAGGTTTAACTAGTGGCCGCGTGTTATTACGGGATTTCGCCGAGTTGCGAATATCTTGTGTTATATGTCTCTGGTTAAGTTGTCTTGAAGCTTTTTTACAAATTTGTGAGATATGTTTATCAAACTTTAGTCCAAAGTCTATCGTTACACCAAAGAGTTTAACATCTTAATCACATGAAATTGTATTGCCTTCTAAATCAATAGTTAAATTATATTTTTTTGTCTTTTTCCCGATAGCGATGGCCTGGAACTTGTCTGGATTTGCTTTCATTAAATTTTGTGAAAACCATTTTATCATTTTTGAACTATGATTTTCAAGTGTTTTAACTAAATTACCTACATTATTGTCACAGTAAGACAGGGTTTAGTCATCTGCATAGTTATAAATCGTATTGTCTTGCCACAGTAGAAAATATCGTTGAAGAAGACATTAAAAAAACACTGGTCCAAGAATTGACCCTTGGGTGACCCCCTTTATCAGTATTTCCCAGTCACTGTAAGTGTTGCCAATCTTTATACGTTGCCTTCTATTTTCCAGGAAACTTTTAAATAACTTTAACGAGCTATCAGAAACGCCATAAGCCTCTAATTTTAATAAAAGTAAATCGTGGGGCAAACAGTCAAAGGCTTTTGATAGATCCATTAGGATGACCGCAATATATTTATTTTCATCAAGAGCTTTTTTCAAATCTTCTATAATTTTTAAAAATGCTGTTTGACAACCGAGCCACTGAACAGTGTTTCAAACTGGTTCGAGGTGCCTTTAAATTGGTCCGCGAGGTCTTTGTCCGATTTGTCTTTGGTCCGAGTTGTCCTGATTCCGTTCCTGGCTAGGTACATCATTCCAAATTTTAGAATGTTCCTTGTTGGTCACGTGTTTAACATTGCGGGAAATTCAATCAACAGACGAATGATGGCGTCCACAACATTGCAACCTCAAATAAAAGAAACTGAAAATATTCCAGCAGTTATAAAATACAACAATAAACCAATGGATTTAACAAGACAAGTGAATATTTTATTTTTTTAATTTTACTGCTGTCGTAATTTGTTACCCACACCTACTTTTTATGAACATAAAGTCATAATACATTTCATTGTTTCTTTCAGGTTTCAAAGATCAAATAAGTTTTCACCACCAAAATTTGAAGCTTCTGAATATTTTGTTTTCCACCTCTAACCTCCCGAATATGTTGTGCTTTTCACCAACAAGCTGCTGAACATTTTGGGTTTTACACCACATTCCGTATTCAGATTTTTCATCATCAAGCTACTACAAATTTTTATTTACTTCGTCTTCGTCTTGAGTGTTTCAAGACACCTACATGAGACGATTAGACCGCCATCTAGGATGTTTTAACATCACTGTTACCATGGTTACTGTATAGCACAAATCTTCACATTATTTTTATATAAAATATCTGCATGCGCATCCAAAAGTGGCAAAATAATCAAGGGTAACACGAATGACCGAAATAACACCGTTATTATCCATATAACACTTGTAATGAATGAATAACACTTGAAATTTTAATATTAGCACATATTGGTGACTTTTAAACATTAATTATTAAATAATATTATATTACATGTATATATGTGTTGGTCGCCATGTTGGATGTAGAATTATAGTTATCTCGTACCATTGTAAACTCGTACCAATGTCAACTCGTACCACTAAAAAAAAACTCGTACCAATGCAAACTCGTACCACTGCTAACTCGTACCACGGTAAATTCATACCATTGTAAACTCGTACCAACTTATTTGAATGCATTCAAATGGTGTTTAATGATGAATATATACTTTAATTTCACTCAATACCTCTTAAGTCTGTAAAATGTATATAATTTGAAATTACAATGACCAATTTGTAGCTAATTTTCCTTGTCTAATTGGATAGAGAAAACCGTGGCAGATTGGCTTTGTTGTAACATTGAATAGATTTGGGTATTTTTCTATTGTTTCTAAAAGGAATTTTATTTAATGAAAGAATTTATTTATTGTGTTTTAAAGGTTTAAAATTGTTTATGACCAACAGTTAGAAAGTATGAAATTTATTTTTATACAATATTCAGCACATTTTACCTGAATATGAACATGCTAATATGATTAAACAAGTTGATTAGTCATTAATCAACCAATAATCACACAATCAAAGGAATTTAATCTATTTATTATCATGGTAATTAAGAAATTACATTCGTATTTTTGTCTAAGTTTTCATTAAAATTTGGTATAACATTCAAAGATATTTTAATTTTTTGTATAAAGCTTAAAAAAAATAATCATAAAACATTCGTACTTTTGTCTAAGTTTTCATTAAAATCTAGTATAAAATTCAAGTAATTCAACTTTTTTTATTTAGTTTACCAAAAAAAAAATCATAAAACATTCGTATTTTTGAATATATTTTTAATGGTACGATTTTGCAGTGGTACGAGTTCTGATTGGTACGACTTCCCAGTGGTACGAGTTTACGTTGGTACGAGTTAACTTTTTTGGTACGAGTTTACGTGGTACGAGTTTACAATGGTACGAGTTAACTTGCTTCCTTGGATGTACACACTATATTTAAAATAATCTTTATGAACTTACCTGCTTTCTGTAAATCATTTTTAAGTTATAAAATACATTAATAATATAATATTATTTAATTATCAATGTGTGCTAATATTAAAATTTCAAGTGTTATTCGGTCATTACAAGTGTTATTCTGATAATAACGGTGTTATTTGGTCATTCGAGGTACCGATTTAATCAGTATATTGATGGTGGCCGCAAAGTGGTAGAAGTAGAAGCCTGTTGTTAATTTGGGATTTGAGCAAGAGGCAAATGATTTAGAAATTCCAACAGGGACCCAAATTGTTACATAATTGAGTGCTATATTTCTAGGGCCAAAGTAGGTTTCCCAAAATTACAAAAAAAAGATAAATACTGAGACAATATTTCATCAATTAGGGTAAATTATGTAAATTGCATTTTTCAATGCTTAAAATTTGAATTGACAAAACGGATTTGGTTTTTGATTGTTTCTATTGAGTGAACACGCAAATAGGCAGCTTATTTGGAGCTCTGAATGATCGACTGTTGTACAGGAAAACACAAAACTTAGTTATGGATACAAACGATTTTCAATCTTATACTTTTTTTTTTAAATTTCTTTTCTACATGTACATTTGTATTTATATAATTTCAAACTATTAATGTTAACACTAAGATTTTGGTGTATATTATAAAGCCATTTCTGTCCCTGTGCATTGAAACACTTTATAAATCATTCATGTAATATTTCACACACTAAACTGAAAAATATTGATTGGTCGCTTGCTTCATGTCCAGTTTTAAATATTTCATACATTGTACACTAGATGATACACCCATTTTTTTAATTGTTAATTTTCACAGTTACATTTGTATTTTATTAACAGAATCAGAATGAAAGCAGAAAAACACTACAGACTCTCCAGTATTCAACAGGAGCTCCAATATCCCCAATAAGGAAAATTGTTGTAAGTAAAATATTGTAACAAGTTGATTTATTCTAATTTATAATTTGAACAGATTACTGGTTACATCATTATACATGATACATGTACATATAAAATCATATAGCATAACAAGATTTTTCCTGTCACTGCATTTTGTTGATAGGGTTACATTTACATATGTATGCTGCAAACAGTTAAAAAAATTTTGTACATATATATATACAGTGATCGGGAAGGACGTGCGCCAATTGCGCTTATCGACCAGAAATGGCGCATAGATTGACAAATGTAAGCGCCCGCGTGGCGCATGATATTTTTCACTTCGTTTTGAAACGTTGAGATATCATCAAATGGATTTCCGATCGTAGTTCGTGCCGCCATTTGTGAGTACACAACTGTGTAGTGTTTACTCCAATGATAGGAGCACCTATATATTTTTGGGACGTCTCGGGTGTTTTCCTATGGTAATAATAGCAACATACGGTATGACTGATTACCCAAAAAACGTAATTAACCATCATTCATGATATAATTTTTTATAAACAACTTTAAATTTGTGAAAATTGGCTAGTACAGGCGAGAATTCTTCTCTAATTATAATCTTTTAAGTAAGCTTGCTATTATTTCGATTGAAAAACCCAAAAGCCTTTTTATGAATAGCATAGTATTTGTCTCCATAAAAGGGGCTTAACTGTCCTTGTCATTTTTTTTGGTCTTTGGCTCGTTTTGACATTTTGTAAACATGCCTTCAGCGAATTGTTGTTGTGTCTTATCAATTAACGTTGCTCTCTACTGTTATTCTTGTCATCGTGATGAAGTAATAATAATACAAGTGCAGAGAAAATGCCAGAAACTTCCTCTAATACGGAACGTCTGGAATAAGTATGGTATCGACGAAGACCCAAATTTAATGTAAAAAAAACATGAACAAGGGAACAGTACCAGTTTTAACATTGTAAATAAAGGTTATCGTAAATATTGCCCGGTTTGGAAGAAGTTATTGTATATTCATTGAAATTGAAATTACAAAATCACAGGAACAATATCCATGATATTAGTTAGAATCATACTTGTAAGTACAGTGAAATATACACTTTTTTTATTTTTTGTTTTTATTGTAAACAAATGGCCCACTCATTTGACAACATGACCCATTAATTCTAAAAATGGCCCATTGAATTTATTTTGGGGGGGCCATAGAGAAAAAATCGTTCCAGATCACTGTATATATATATGTATGTCAGAATCAACAAAAATACTTTACACAATTTGGAAATGTTAAAAACCATAGATTTTCAAATAATAATGTTGTTTGTTTTGTTTTTGAAATAGGTAAAAACTTTGCCCACACACACTCAAGCATAATATTGTTCTTGTGTGTTCTTCCTTCGTATATTTATACCCCACACAACGAGTTGCGGAGGGTATAATGTTTTTGATCCGTCAGTCCTGTTTCTTGTCATCGCAACTCCTCTCAAACCACACAACAGAATTTCACGAAACCTTTTTAGATAATAAGGACATACTATGTAGTTGTGCATATGGTTAGGAAATTACGATTCAATTTTTTTTCTAGGAGTTACGCCCCTTTGAACTTATTTACTTTAATGTACTACTGCAACAGTTTGTCATCTCAACTCCTCTGAAACCACACAACAAAATTTCATGAAACTTTGTAGATAATAAGGACATACTACGTAGATGTGCATATCGACAGGAAATTACGATTTAATTTTTTTTCCAGGAGTTACGCCCCTTTGAACTTATTTGCCCAATATACTACTGCAACCTTTTGTCATCGCAACGCCTCTCAAACCACACAACAGAATTTAATGAAACCTTTTCAGATAATAAGAACATACTACGTGGGTGTGCATATCGACAGGAAATTACGATTCAATTTTTTTTCTAGGAGTTACGCCCCTTTGAACTTATTTGCTTCAATATACCTCTGCAACAGTTTGTCATCGCAACTCCTCTAAAACCACACAACAGAATTTCATGAAACTTTGTAGATAATAAGGACATACTATGTAGATGTGCATATCGACATGAAATTATGATTCAATTTTTTTTCTAGGAGTTACGCCCCTTTGAACTTATTTGCTTCAATATACCTCTGCAACAGTTTGTCATCGCAACTCCTCTGAAACCACACAACAGAATTTCATGAAACTTTGTAGATAATAAGGACATACTATGTAGATGTGCATATCGACAGGAAATTATGATTCAATCTTTTTTTCTTATACATTTTTTTTTCTTACAGTTATTTTATTTCTCCAGTGACAATGTGGGGACGTGGGGTATGTGAGCGTGCTCACTAAGGTTCTTTAATATTTATTATATTTGATTCATTAGACACTGTTTTCTTTTTAAAACATGTAGAACTTTGTTTTGTAGAAACCACAGAAGAAAAATTTGATACAGAAAGTTCAAAAGCCTATTACAATATTTGTAGACCCGCCTAAGAAAAAGTTAGACGACAAAGCTAGTCAGACAGAAAAATCACAAAATGGTTCAGATGCCTATAATATGCTGGTGTCAGGTAGTCAAATATAAAAAATTAACTTGAAGTGAATACTATTATCTCCCGAGTTCCCTGACTACAATTCAAACAAGAGAATTTTGTCAGAATGGAAGGATCTTCCGATCACAACTTTGAAATAAGGTTAAGAAAAGTATATACATGTATACCTGTGAATAAAGGAGATGTTGGGTATGCTTTCAATGAGACAGTAACCAAACAACATAATAAACTAAGAAACATCTAAGGGTCAGTATAACAGCCCTCAACAAATCTATGCAAAATGTCAAGCTCTAAATTGTGGGGAGTCTAAAAAACATTTCGCATGAAAATACTATAATTCTACCTGTCTTTATGTTTCTGACAAGTTTCTGACCCTCAGCTAATTAACATTTACAACAGGTGTTATAAGTTGTGATTACAGGTAACCCGCTTATCGCCATCGGATGGGTCACTGATCCGTTAATTATTAAGAAATACAATAATTGACTATCACAATCATTTTCCCCAGTAAAATCAGTCAGTTGGCATTTCAGTTTCAATATTTCTCAAGGCAAACGACCACAATTTGCAGTTCGTTTGTCGTAGTTTCGTCATTTGAACAAAATTGTTTTCCCCCTGACAGTTCGCTTTTTACATCGTGATGACCGTGAGGGCATTCCGATGTATTGTTGCCACAGAGATTTCTACTTTCGTAAATTTCGTTTTTGACTGGTAACAGATCTATAAATACGCGGACATTATCGAGTGCAAAATAGCATTCCTTATCACTTGTTATAAATTCATTTCTTCAATGAATACTCATAAAAATATTCTTTTCAGAACATAAATTAATAATATGAAATATATATATAAGTAAAAAATCATTAATATCTATGCACACGTACAGAAAAATTGTGTTAATGCATGCGGAAGAATATCTCAAGAACGTTTTGCGGGAAAATATGAATGCCTACTCAAATCCAATCTATTAGAAAAAAAATCGAAGTATTACAGAAGAGTGTCCACCATGCACTTGCACTGCACTATTATTAGAATAGTAGAATAGAATGATATGCAAATGGATGAAAGTAATATATACATGCAACTGTTATATATACAAATATTAATATAATATATAACAACAAACCAGAGTATACTGATTTGTATCACTACAATATAATAGTTATTACGGTGAGGTTAAATTCCCTGTCATTAATTCATCATCTACGCACGAACTTGTCTCAAAAAAATATATATATGTACATTAACCTCACTTTCAGGTATAGAGATGTGATTTTTTTTCTGAGACAAGTGCTTGTGACCATCCACAAGAACTTGCGGTCATCCGATGTTCAGTACTTCAGTACTTTGATTAATATTTCTCAAACGATCACTATTTGCAGTTCTTTTGTCGTAGTTTCGTCAAATGAATGTATTTTCGTCATATTTGATATAACTTTTCATCAAAAACTTTCGACAATTTCGATTAAAAAGATAGAACTTTATATTCAAAACTTTCAGAAACATTTTCACGAGTCAAACAGGTGATTCCTTTACGGTATACTGCACATGCGTGAAAGTATTGACACTAAAACATAAAATACGAAATAAATTAGTATCAAATTAAACAAGAGAGACAAATATAGTTCTTACTTAGCAAATTTAATTTAAAAAATGATAACTTCCTGCCTTTGTTTAAACACAAACCAAGCCGTAGAAGAATCCGGATTCATTCTGAATTTATTATCTACTTGTCACTTCCTGTTTTCATTTCATTTGAAAATCGAAAGTAAACGTGATCAATTCTTGATTAATTTACAGTCATTAGAATCGTTCCAATAAGGATTTGTACAAATCCTTGGTTCCAACTTTATAGAAATGAATTCCAAATATCGATTTAAACTTTTTTATAAGGATAATGATTATGCAGTGAAATAGTCTTACAACTACAAGTTCATTTATGCCTTAGATTCCTGCTTTTAAAAAAAAAATGGAACCCAACTTCTGTTGATCATGAATGTCCCCTGAAACTAACTGAAGTGAAATTGTGAACTAGATTTCCAGATCTTATATCCTAATCTTCATATTTAAGTGCCACATCAGTCAAATCATGCAATAACTGCCTAGTAAATGCTTTAGTCCTTCAAAGTCTGACAAAGATGTATATACATCTTTGGTCCCTTGCTGTTACCCCAAATACATTTGTAAGGTTGATTTTCATCTCCCGCAAAAGTGACTAAAGCCCTCAAAATCCTGGCTTAAACCCTGCAATTCAATTGAGAAAACTAACAGCCTAATTTACAACAAAACAATTTACGAAAAACAAATATGACAGACATGAACCAGCGACAACCACTGAACTACAGGCTCCTGACTTGGGACAGGCACTTAAAGAATGTGACGGGTAAAACATGTTTGTGAGCGCTCAACCCACCCCCTAACTTAGTTGGAAATAGAGATGAAGAATTACATGAATTACACATTTGTATAAGGGAGACATTATAACATGAGATTTTTATGCCCCACCTAGGGGCATTATGTTTTTCGGTTCGTTCGTTCGTTCGTCCATCCGTCCATTCGTCATCTGTCCCGGTTCAGGTTAAAGTTTTTGGTCAAGGTACATGTAGTTTTTGATGAAGTTGAAGTCCAATCATCTTGAAACTTAGTACACATGTTCCCTATGATATGATCTTTCTAATTTTAATGCAAAATTAGAGTTTTGACCCCAATTTCAAGGTCTACTGAACATAGAAAATGATAGTGCCCACTTCAGGTTAAAGTTTTTGGTCAAGGTAGTTTTTAATGAAGTTGGAGTCCAGTCAACTTGAAACTTAGTACACACGTTCCCTATGATATGATCTTTCTAATTTTAATGCCAAATTAGAGTTTTGACCCCAATTTCACGGTCCACTGAACATAGAAACTGATAGTGCGAGTGGGGCATCCGTGTACTATGGACACATTCTTGTTGGAAAGCTGCATTTGGGATTTTCCTTTAAATCAAATCTGGTACATTCCTTTTCCTTTTTCAAATCTCTTTTGTTTAATCTGAAGAATAGTCTATTGTTTCTTAATATAAAGCTGAAAATGGTTTCCTTGATGGCCTTAAAAAAACAAAAGTTTGGACTGGGAAATGTCATTGGACCTGAGATCTAAATATGTCTAGAGGGACAGCTATCTTTCCATCCTTTGAGTATTGTTTCACAAGTACATGTTATTTTGTAGAGGAAATCCCTGAGTCCTACTGGAAAGAATTGGCAGAAGAAAGGAGGAAAGCTTTAGATGAATCATTACATGAAAATGAGCAGGTTTATGTTTTTTCATCTATTTTAAATTCATAATAAGATTTACATGTACCCGGTAATACAGGCAAAAATTCAGTTTATTGTATTTTTCTGTTGGTATTGCTCACAAAAGTAATTGAAAAGTCCTCTTGCAATTAACAGTACACCATCTTCCTTTAATGGAAACACATCATATTAAGCTTTAAACTGTCCTGAGTCTACAAAAAGAAATGAAGTTAAAGAGACAAGAAAATATCTGCTTTTAACACCAGAATGACAAAACAAAAGACTACCACTGATGAGGTTCCTTGCCATTACTTTGAACAAACACATGAACCAATGCAGTTGAAATTCACTTTTCTTTGGTTTCTTAATGTTTCTTTTCATTATTTTCTCTGATTCAGTCTTCTTTTTCACTTTGTATTTCTATTTATTGTCATTGTAAGTTTCAAAATAACAGAATATTTGTTTTATTGGAGGAGGTCAGTGTACTGACCAAACAGAAAGCAGGTAACTGAAGTGCATTTTAAAACACTTTCCATATTCAAAATACAAAAAGAACTGCAATACGTATATGTTTTTTCAACTTGTCTGTTTGCCGAGTCCCTGTTTCCCTTAGAAACAATTTAATTCTTTGAACTAGAACATGTTTTGTAAAAGTATTCCTTAGATTAAAGAGGTTTCAAATTGTTCTTGGGATAGAAAAACATTAGAAATCATGAACTCATAGCATGTAAAAATAGGAATCTCTTTATTAATATTGAAACTCAGAACTGCACTGGTATGTCAGTATCGACTTGATGTATTATACAATGTATTAAAAAATCCAATTTGAAAAACTACAATTACATGCAGGACCAGACCTTGAAATAGTTGTTAAATTAACCCATGCTACATGTATGAAAAGAATGAATCAAAAGAAATACCAACATCAATGTATATTCTTTAAGGTCAATTTCAATATATTCTGGTCAGTTTTGAGAAACTCTCTCATCATGCTCATGGCCGCATTTGACCATATTAGTCCTGACATTATACATGTACTTTCAAATGAGTTCTGAATTAATCCAAGTTTTTCAACACACAAAACTTCAAACTTGTATGACAGTCATTGCAGTTCCAGTTCTGTAGTTTTGAGTCATTTTTTCCAACAGGATTTGACTCTGTATCCTTCAGCCAAATTAAAATGGCTGTGTATTTGAATCATAAAATAACTAGGAACTTTATCTTGAAATGCTTCACAAGAAAATGTGGTCAATAATCTTTGTTTTTTTTCCACTTTTAGTTGCATAAAGAAGTTTCTGAACTGAAAGACGAGAATGACAAGCTGTCAAAAGTGGCAAGTCAGGCTGAGTACTTTGCAAATGTGCTCAAAGTAAGTGAATTTAATCTTAATGTCAAAGTGAAATTCTGTGCTCTGCAGCTGCCATTATATAATTTATATACCAGTAAATACTCCAGGAATGTTTTGTGTTTTGAAATTTTTTTGTGCCACAAATGTTTACATTCAATCAAAAGATCATTTCCAAAACATTAATTTCTTGAATTAATGAAGTGTTGGTCTTGTATTTAATGCAGTATCAAAAGTGTTCGACTGACATTTGGAACCATATGAGCTTGTGTAACAAAGATTGCATGCATATAGCTGTCAGAGCAAATTTCCAAATAAAAAATCATTGGAAAATTTTAAAATTATTTCTTAATTGCCTTGAAACATTGTGTCTAGCAGGTGATTTCACAGTGTGACAAAAGGAAGCAGAAATCTTTGGTCTTGAACTACATTATAGAAAATGGCTTAGTCACATTACCTCAACTTAAGAGCCAAAATCTCTCAATATTGTCTAATTAGAAGATCAAATCATTACTGTAAAATTGGAAAGTTTTCATGATGGGTTTATATTTTCAATAATTTACTGGTATGTGATTTCTTCACTAGTAAACAAAACCAAATCTCTTAACTGAAAATCTCTTATTTATCATTTTATTACATTCTGAAGTGTACCTGTACATAAAGGTTATAAATATCGGGTGTCTTTATTTTTGACTCCAGAAGCATATCTATCATGTCATACTGTTCAAGTCCAATTAAAAGATAAGAACCATGTTTAGTGGAACTTTTCTATTTATGGAATTTTGCACTCAAGTACCAGTAATTGTTTAAGTGGAATGCTTTGTTTTGCAAAATAATGTAGATTACTGAACTGTATTTTAAGCTTAACCTTCAATGACCTTTGTAAAAAATTGGTTTTACTGTCACAAATATCAATTTAGGTAGCTCCCCCCTATGCATCTCTACGTTGTATCAACTAGTATTACAAAGGTTAAGCTGAAAATACAATACAGTTATCTTCTTAGTAACTGATTTAAAATAACCTATGAGAGATAATATATCTACTTGAAATTTTTCTGGATTTGCAGGAAGTTTTAGGTGCAGAGGAAGAAGACAAAGATGACCAGGATGTGTTAAATAGTACTGACACTGATGAAGTGAAATCTGATATAAATGAAAAACTAGGAATGGAACTGTTGGATAAGAGTGAAAAAGAAGACAACGACTCAAATGAAAAATCACATAAATCTGAAGAATCTGTATCAGCACAACTACATGAGGATTCTACTACAGAAACTGGTAAATGGGCTAATAAATTAAAAACTGATTCTTCTTACAAGAGAAAGAAAATTTTTAACCATTTAATTTTTCAAGATGTCTTTGAAAGAGGTGTTTACCACTACAGATTTTCTGGATTTTATATGGATTTAAAATTCGAAGTACTGACCATGGATTTTCTTCATGGAGTGGTGTAAGAGACCACACATATAAAACTCAATATAGATAGAGATTTCCGAGGCTTTAGGGACACCTATTATTAATTGTCTGTTTTACTGATCTTTCAAACTATGTAACGAAAGGTAGTTTAAAATTATGAAAAGATGTCCACTACAAAGCAAGGGGCTTTGGCTGATCTGAACTTTTTGGCTCGCAGAATGCAGGATTTTGTCTAATTTTTCATAACTTTTATGGGGCCGCATACCCCAAACCCCTCTAGAAAGTTTGTGATCGTAGTGGCGCTCACCAGAGATACCTATCCAAAGATACTGAGGAAATGGTTAATACTACTTATAGACTGAAAGAGGGGTAAACACCTCTGCTTTGACCATTTTTTGCATAATACATGTAAATGTCTAACTTGCAGTATTTGAGTGAACTAGTTAATTGTTGTTAGCTTAATATACAATGGAAAATATTGAATGAATAAAAAAAATTATTTTGGGCCAACCTTAAAAATATGTTTGTTTGCAGTTTTCCGACTGTACCTTCAGACTGCAGGGTCGGTAGGTAGGAAAAATATTTTATTTTATCAGCCAGAATAAAGTTTAAACAAGTAGTTTAACACAAACCAAGTTTCTTGTGAAGAAAAAAACATTTTAAAACAACAAACACTGAAAACCAACATGAAATGAACAGGCATTTTTAGGTTAACACCTTTTTAACCAAAACTGAAACTTAACATAGTGTCATTATACAATTTATGACATAAATTTATGGTATTATGAAATACTGGAACACTTATAAACAAGGAATGACTAGAACTGTTGTAAAGAAACATATTCACTGACATATATATGCATCTTTACTAGAAGTTTTCATGAGTAGAGTATTTGCATCAGAAAAATGTAGATATTAAAGATTCAAAAGACAATTTAGGAGTGTGTTAAAAAAAGGTTGAATCTTCCTCAATTATAAAAAAAAGACAACTTAAAAAAAAATATATAAGACATCTGACATAAAGGTTATATTTAGAAAGATATGTTGATGCCAGGCTTTAATTAAAACAAACAAAAATCTTAAGTCTAGCTTTGGGGTGAAATCCATAGCACCCCATTAAAAGTAAATGGTCTGTACTGAAATGTTTGACTGCATAAAAAATTGGCAGCATAGCTCCTAGCTAAGGACATATTTCAATTCAATTCACACAGGTCACACATTTTGGGTATATTTAATATTGTAAGAGAGAGAATAATTGCAATGAGTGGGACAGCCCCCCTTATCCTAAAGGAGCATACTCATTGCAATTGAAGATAGATTTGATACAGAGAGAATATATTTATTTCTCAAGCCAACCATTCATTTTCTCTACATCTTTGTGTAGTTTGTGAGGCTTCTTATTGATTTAACACCGTACAGGCGTGTTTACAGTTATCCCTGAAGTCACGGAGGAGTCTGTTTCCTCTTTGTCGTCTTCACGACGATTTAAAGAAAATATGGCATACTTCAAGATGCTGTCGAATTATTGAACCACTGATATTGGTTCCATAAAGTCACTCTCAAAAGATTCTGTATCCGATTTGTTTGGGACAGAAACGGTTATCATGTCGGTTTTATGAATATTCGCTGCATCATCGTCAATGATATCATCGAAGACATCATTCCGTGTGCAATTCTGCCTGAATCAGTATAAACAGTTTACTATGAAACTTTTCTGTGTATTATTTGTCTTAAAATTGACTGAAGACGACATAATAAAGTACTCCTCCATGACTTCGTGGATACCTGTAAACAATCTCCATGTGCTTTACCATTAAAAGGTCCGATGAACGCTTGACAGGAAGGGAAGAAAAACCGAACTTCAAACATGTAATTGACCTAGACTCGAAATCAATTCCGGAAACGACCCGAAATTCCGGATCGAGTCAATTGAAGTATTAAAAATAATTTCTTCAAATTAAAAGCAATAAAATTATCACAGTCAGGCGGATTTTCGAAGGTCGGTCGGTAAACTGCAAACAAACAATATTTTAATTTAAGCCTTGCCCAATTCAGAGTCTATTCATGTATGGTAAACAGAAATATATATCATAAATAAAAGTATAAGTCGATTAAATGCTAAAAAAAAACATATTTTTTTTGGCCTTTGCTGAATAGTCATAATATCAAGTTCATACCATCAGGCCATAATCTTGCCGGCGAAATGACGATTTAAGTCGCCAAAGAATTTTGAAAATCGCTAAATCTCGCCGGCTGACTGACTTCATAGCGAAGTCAAATCGCTATCAAAATCGGTAAAAGGGAGACAACTTGTGATTGACAAGTCTCACAGGTAAAAAAAAATGGCGGCTGACAAGGAAAATCAAGATTTTCGAAACGACCCAGGACTAATACTGTAATCGATCAAATTAAATAAATACAACGGCGACTTTGAACATCCTCGGATATAACTTTCAAAACTGTTCAAACGGAAAACTGACCGTCTGTTTAAGTTATCGTTTTACGATGATTTTCATCTGAGGATGTTGCGTAATCACTCAGCTGATTTGTTTTATTTTTATTACCTACACGAGTCGATCAATTTTACTATTCGGTTGGTAAAGGGTGGGAATTAACGGTAGATTTATTATATTCATTGAATAAAAATTGAAATATAAAAGTAGAAAGACAGCTGATGGATAATGTGATTGCAAACGTACGACACTCGACCAGATTGTGATCAGCAGTGGATTTTTTCTCATGACCACATCGTTGATATGGATGACATTTTTAAAAAATGATAGAAATTAGCTCTTTATCGGATAATTAACTTGAGATTGAAAGATATTTTCATTTATAGACTTACAATCTTTAACGATAATCTCAATTTACTACAACTAACATAAATGTCCTGTACATTCAATAATGTTTTACAAAACAATGACAAGTAGTGATATAAATTAAATTCCCAGTCATGTGAAATTCATCATATTTTTCTGGAGTTTAAAAATAAATTGAGGCAGATGCACATGAATTTATTGCATCATAATCTTGATAATATTACTAGGCTACTCCCTCATGTCCCAATCAACAAATTTTATTTAGAACACATTATGGTATCAATAAATAAATAACAACTATATATTGTTTAAACCTTTTTATTAAGAACTTTCTATAGATACATTGTGTAAAATAACATATGAAAAAACTGCAAGTACATCTTTTATTGAATATAAAACAATTTCCTTAGTGATAAGCTTGAAAACACGATGCAACCGAAACGGTAATGGAATCTCACTTCTCCCTTCTCTCTCATGGAAGGAGAAGTCACTTCTCCCTCTTCAAAATCCTAGATTAGGCCCTGTACCATGTATTAATTAACCTTTTAAGAGTTTTGAAAAGTTTAATTTATAGTTTGTTTTTTGGTGCAATTCAACAAAATACTTCAAAAGTATTTTAAGAGCTATCAAGTGGGGGGCAATTGGTCAGAAATTCCTTTTCTTATATATAATTTTTTTTAAATTGCCGGTATACCCCCAGGCTAGAGTGGGGCTTTATTGTAATCAACTTGTCCTTTCCTTTCAACTTTTATACAACAAACATTTTCTTCACACTATTCTCAAGAGTTGCTGAACAACATGACTTCATCTTTTGTCAGCAGCTTGACAGTGATGAGTTTTCACGTATGTGCTCTATTAGATCTTGCAGACACCTAATAATTCCTGTTTGTTGATGCTTTGAAATTTTCAAAATTTTGAATGAAAACAAAAAATTTGTCACACTTTTCTCAGGGCTTATCAGTAGCTCCACAGTTATGAATAGTTACATCGTGTGTGTTTTACAGATCTGTCAGACACTGACACACTTCCTATTTTGTGATAATTTGAATTGAGAGCAGGGATATCCTAAGCAAAACAGCACCACATAATTTCTTGTTCTGCTATAAAAAGGTTTCAAAGAACTTCTCTCTGTGCAATGTGTGTTTATTGGAACAGACATGGAGAAAGGAAATTTCATGTCAGATATTGAAAAGTATTTTTAATCTGAGACAAGATTAGTTATAGACATCCATATGTTATATTTAAGAAAAAAGTTCTCAAGTTCACTGATAAATTTCAGTTTGATAATACATGTACTATTTTCTCTTTTTTTCCACAGAAGACCAGAAAACCACAGAAACAAAGTTGGTTTCAGAGGACAGTTAGTTCAGATTTTTTTGCATTTTATGAATTTCACAGACTTGTCAGTGCAGCTTAAAGTGTTTTACTAGACTCAGGGATATGTCTCATAAAATTGTATGATAAATATTTTATTTTTTAGCATATGTTATCAGAAGATGCATAATCAGTTTTATTTACCAGAAAGAAATGATGATGTATAATTTGCGTTGTTAAAACTACAATTAATAGGAGGGGTATGCTGGTTTACCTATGTCTGTCCATCTGTTCAATGAAATTTTCTCCCACATATTTCTCTGGAACCACAAATCTAAGCTTCATTAAATTTGGTATCAAGCTTTAGGTGAGCATGTTATACTGTATTAAGCTTTTTTTTTCATTTTCCTCCCTCATCAACTTCCTGTTTACAAAAATTTATATATTCTAATAATGGCCATGTATGAAATTTCGGTTGCACTTTTCTTTGGAATCACAAATCACACTTATGAAATTTGATATCAAGCTTCATATGAGCAGGTTTTACTGTATGATGCATTTTCACATCCATTGCTCAACTAACTGTTTACCAAATACTTGTAACTAGTTACAATTAGTAAGCAACAGATTTTCATTTTGATTGATTGTAAGTTTTAAAAACCCCTTTTTAAAGTTTGAAAAAAAGAGAATATTTTGACATTCAATAATGATTGATTATTGTAAAAGTTCATGTTTGGTAAAAGACAAATAAAAAGTTAAAATTTTATAAGTCATCTATTTTTTCCTTGATTTGTGAATGGTCCTTAAAGTAAGAAATTACACAATATAAAATTCTTTGAATTATTATAATTGAATGTAATTAAATTTATATGTGAAAACTGTATTTATTTTTGCTGTTTTTATGTAACTGTGCTCAGTCTGTTTGTTTGTGTGGTTGAATGGAGTATGTTTTAAAAAAGTAGTAATATTAGTAGAATATGACAATTTTGTGAGTGTTTTTACTTGATGTTGTGAGTCTCTCTAGTGAACCGTTACATATGGTATTTTTAAATGTGTCAAGATATTTTAATGATATAAATTCGACTGATGCTTGTTTACTGCTGTTTTTGTGAGAAGTTTAAGATAACAGTATCCATGATAATATTGATATTACAGATAAGTGAAATAATTGATGGATCTCCTTGTACATTAATATTTAAAATATAATCTTGTACGAAGCTTTGGACCTATATGGCTCCTCTATTATAAGCATTTACAAAAGAAATCAATATATTTTTTACGGGGAAAATAGACTCCTTTTATTTTTGTTTATAGTATGAGTGGTGGTATTGGAGTAAAGATAATACATGATAGAATTGTTTGATTATTTGCCAAAATGAAGTTTATAACATGTTTTTTTCCAAAAATATCATATCAAAACAGTGTAGGTCATTAAGCTTAATTTCATGTAACAGGTTTTTTCAAATTTATCATACTTTGTGTTTTCAAAAAGAAAGTATTATTATGTGTCTAGAAAAAAGAAATGTAGAATTTTTGATATTAGAGCTCATATTAACTGCCTAAAAAAATTTTAATCACCATTCTTTTTTCTTGCTACATAACAAAAAGATAAATTAACAGTAGTCTTGTCAAAATAAATAATACAAGTTATCTCCCCTTATAATCAGTTTTGATGAGATATTTTCCCAGTAAGAGTTTTAGTGGCAGGTGTCACATGACATGTGATGAAACTGATAGGTATTTTATTTAGATATTTACATCTGCCAAATGTAGATTTATAAAAAGTATATGTAGTTATGTTATTTTTCCCATTCTTTTTTCTAAAATTCATTAAAAAAAAATTTTTTAAATCCCTGTAGTCTTCTAATGAAAGATTTTTTTTGGTACTGTACTGTATATAATTCTGAAAGTTAATAAGCAGATGTAAAGTTAGATCACTTTAAAATAGCACTATTTATAGTAATATGTTCACTTATTAAATCTATGTATTATAAAATGCATGTTAACATTTTACCTAACTACACACATTAACATGACCAGTGGCATTGTAAGGACATTATATAGTGCCTGTTATCATATTTTATAACTACAATTAAATAGTGTAACATAATGAACTGATTTAAAACACATTTTTAATAATCCAGTTAAATGTAATTATTTTATATTTGTGTTTTGTTTCTAAAAAATGTATGTATGTATATTAAAATGTACTGAAATTTTTGTTCTCTTTCTTTTTTAATTTTGTAACATACATATATTTTACAATTCAAATAAAACAGATCATTTTGTTTTTTTTATTTTCTCTTTTTGCATTTGAAAACAAACTACAATGACACAATCTAATAATAGGAAGCTGACCTATACAAGAACCATACAAATTTCACATGGTTTATGAGAATTAATTTTGGATAGTCTAGCCTCTCAACAGTTTGAGAAACTACTATTTATCTTTTCTATAAAATTTGAAAAAAAGGTGCAGAACAAAGATAATTGAAAGGACTTGGAAGGGGAACTTTTTTTTTTGCCAGCATGGTTGCATTGAATAGAGGGCATATAAAGGGACATTAGCTACGATTTATACAAAAATTTAAAATACAATATTTTTTGTCGAGCCTTCGACTTTAGTTGAAAAAGCGAGACATAGCAATCCTACATTCCGTCGTCGGCGGCGTCCACAAATATTCACTCTGTGGTTAAAGTTTTTGAAATTTTAATAACTTTCTTAAACTATCCTGGATTTCTACCAAACTTGGACAGAAGCTTGTTTATGATCATAAGATAGTATCCAGAAGTAAATTTTGTAAAAATAAAATTCCATTTTTTCCATATTTTACTTATAAATGGACTTAGTTTTTCTGCCGGGAAATATTACATTCACTCTGTGGTTAAAGTTTTTAAAATTTTATTAACTTTCTTAAACTATCCTGGGTTTCTACCAAACTTGGACAGAAGCTTGTTTATGATCATAAGATAGTATCCAGAAGTAAATTTTGTAAAAAAAAAATCCATTTTTTCCTTATTTTATTTTTAAATGGACTTAGATTTTCTGCCAGGAAACAACACATTCATTTTGTGGTTAAAGTTTTTAAAATTTTAATAACTTTCTTATACTATTTTGGATTTGTACCAAATTTGGACAGAAGCTTGTTTATGATCAAAAGCTAGTATCTAGAAGGAAATTTTGTAAAAAAATAAATCCATTTTTTCAGTATTTTACTTTTAAATGGACTTAGATTTTCTGCCAGGAAACAACACATTCACTCTGTGGTTAAAGTTTTTAAAATTTTAATAACTTTCTTATACAATTTTGGAATTGTACCAAACTTGGACAGAAGCTTGTTTATGATCAAATGGTAATATCTAGAAGGAAGTTTTGTTTTCTTCCAGTTAACATTACATTCAGTCTGCAGTTAAAGTTTTTAAACATTTATTAGATTCATAAACTATCCTGGATTTTTACCAAACTTGGACAGAAGCTTCTTACAATCAAAAGATAGTATCAAGAGGAATATTTTTATTGATTTACTTCCTCATTTTTGTTGAGCCTGCGATTAACAGAAAAAGTAGGCGACACACTGGGTTCCGCGGAACCCTTACAAATTTTTGTTTCAAGTATTCATAAAAGTGGAATTTTGGTTTTAAAAAAAGCTCAAAATAATTGCTGATGTATTATTGACTTGCAAGTCAATAATTAAACCTCATTGAACCTGTATACATGTGACCTTCAATTTAATCCCTTGGCTAGAGATGGGTTACGCATATACTAGGCATGTTCAGCTATTAAAAGGAAAAGCTTGTCAACATTGAAAAGGAAACCAGGTTGAACCCTTTAGTTGACTGATTTGATCCACAAAATATCTATCTTATACAGCTAAAAACTGATTAACATATTGTTTTAACCCATAATATGAAATAAAACAGACCTAGACACATCCAATTGCATGTGCTCGGTATCTGTTTATAATTATGTTTATATAGGATTATATGACTGTCTGCAGTGTTTGGAGTGATCTTACATGAAATGCTGATACATATTATCGAGTCCATGCATTGTTGATTGTTTATTTAAGACTATTTATAATTTGGATATAAGTTTTAGTATGTAATAAATCAAATATGAGAATTTGAGTCAAATCAGTGAACATGAATTTGACAGATAATGCCCCTTTAACATTCAGTGTGATTGCATTGTCAATAAGTATTGAGCTTCACATTTAACAGACATGGAAAGGGCAAAATTTTAGATCTAGTTTAAAATGCCCTTCATCAATTGATTATATCATAAACTATATGTTAAAGAGGAAAATGACGGCCAGCTGAAGCCCGCCTGTGGGTGCATGATTTTCTCGCTGTGTTGAAGACCCATTGGTGGCCTTGGGCTGTTTTCTGCTCTTTGGTAGGATTGTTGTCTCTGACGCATTCCCCATTTTCAATTTTATTGTAATAGCAAGAGATAATAATTACAAATAATTCTACTACTGAAGAACAAATTTTCATTGGCCCTTTAATGGTTATTGCAGCCATATTGAATAGGGGGCAGATTTTCATAATGTAGGTGAAAATGTTTTAAAAAATATGGGAAAACATCATTGAAACAGAACAGTTGCTTGGAAACCTGCATAGGATTTCCCGTACTTTCTAACTATTTCCACTTCTAACCAAAAAATCTGCCCCTATTCAATATGGCTGCAAAAAACCGTGAAGTGGCCTATTTCATTTGGTCAGTACAGAAAAATCAAGCTTTTGTAAAAAAAAGTTGAGAAAAGGCTGTAGAAAATTTTGTGTTTAATTGTGCATATTGCAAATAAATTATATCAATATAAAATAAGGAGATGTGGTATGATTGCCAATAAGACAACTATCCACCAGAGACATGCAAATGTTGTAGATGTTAGCAACTATAGGTCACTGTATGGCCTTCAACAGTCTAGTTTGGTTTTATAGTGATAGAATGTTAGGCTAAAGAGCCAAGTGAGCTTTTCTCATCACTTGGCATCCGTTGTCCATTAACACAAGTTTTGCCTATTATCTTGAAAACCTGACAGGGGCAGGTTGAGATCTATCCTTGTTGGAGTTACTACCCTTTATATGCCCCTGTCGTAGCGGAGGGGCATTAAGTTTTACCCTTTGTCCGTCTGTACATCCCAAAGTTGGTTTCCGTTCTCTAACTTTAGTTTGCCTCAACCAAATGTTATGAAACTTATACACAATGCTTATTACCACAAAACACAGATCAAGTTTCTATTTTGGTGGCGTCACTAAACCGTTCTAGAGTTATGCCCCTTTACAAATGGAAAAATTGCTGAATTTTTCGTTTCTGTTTTTCTAACTTTAGTTTGCCTCAACCAACTGTTATGAAACGTATACACAATGCTTATAACCACATAATACAGATCTAGTTCGAAATTGGGTGGCCTCACTTTTACAATTCTTGAGTAATGCCCCCAAAACCGCTGAATTTTTCGTTTCCGTTCTCTAACTTTAGTTTGCCTCAACCAAATGTTATGAAATTTATACACAATGCTTATTACCACATAATACAGAGCAAATATGAATATGGGTGGTATCACTTGTACATTTCTTGAGTTATGCCCCTTTATAAACATAAAAATTGCTGAATTTTTCGTTTCTGTTCTCTCACTTTAGTCTGCCTCAACCAAATGTTATGAAACTTATACACAATGCTAATTACCACAAAATACAGATCAAGTTTGAATTTTGGTGGTGTCACTTTTTTCCGTTCTAGAGTTATGCCTGTTTACAAATGGAAAAATTGCTGAATTTTTCGTTTCTGTTCTCTAACTTAAGTTATCCTTAACCAAATGTTATGAGACTACAAAATACTTATTACCACAAATCTCAGATCAAGTACAAACTTGGGTAGCGTCACTTTTACTGTTCTTCAGCTATGTCCCTTTATAACTTTATATGATATGCAAGCGGGGGCATCATCTGTGTCCCATGGACACATTTCGCCATTTATTTTGTTTTGTGTTTTTGTCCAATATCTTAAAACCTATAACAAATAAATAGAAACGTAAATAAGTAGAAAAGATCTACAAATAAGTCAACATAACCAAAATGTCTGACGACTCCATTTTGGCAGCGGCGGCGACGGCATAAACTATTTGTTTTTTTCATATTTCAGAAGGTAGAAGATCTGGATGCTCCATGCAGATGCCTTATGTGTCGAAGTATCTGTCTGTCATATATCCATTGTCCTTACCTCATTTTAATGGTTCAGCGACTGCTTGAAAAAAGTTTATGGGTTCCTTGCAAAGTCTACATACATGTATGCATGTACGTCAAACAGGGTTCACCTGACATCGACTGGCCTTGTTTCATGGATCAGTGACCAAGTTAAGTTTACGTGGTCAATTCTGATCTCAGATACTACCGTATAAGCAATAGGTCAACTATATATGGTGTATGGAATGATTGTAACGTCTAGATATCTGACTGGCAGGTTTCTTCTGACCTTGACCTCATTTTCATGGTTCATTTGTCAATGTTAATTTTTTTTTCTGATGTGTTACATTTTTCATACTGTATGCAATAGGTCAACTATATTTGGTCTATAGAATGATTGTACTGTATATATGTCTGTCTGGCAGGATTCATCTGACCTTGGTTTTTGGTCAGTGATAAGGTTTTGTTGCTATGTCAGTTTATCTGTTACTATAAGCAGTAGGTCAACTACATTTCGTGTATGGAATGATTGTAAGGTGTACATGTCTGTCTTCCAGGATTCATATTACCTTGTCCTCATTTTCATGGTTCATTTGCCAATGTTAAGATTTTGTGGTTTGATCTGTTTTTCAAGTACTATCAGCGATAGGAACACTATAATCGGTGTATGGAATGATTGTAAGGTGAACATGTCTGTCTGGCATAGTTCATCTGACCGTGACTTCATTTTCATGGATCATTGATAATGTAAAGTTTATGTGATACATGTAGTAAAACCTTCACAATACAGACTTTCAACATAAATTTAATCATAAGTAAAGCGTATGAGACATTTTAGCCTGTGCACTCTTGTTTTGTGTTTTTGTTCAATATCTTAAAAACTATAAAAGATACACTTTAAATAGCAAAAATTATCAGCAAGACAAGATCTACAAATTTTGTCGAAACGAAATCGTTAGTAAACTCTTTAAAGGGTTGATTGCCCTTAAATTCTATTCTAGTCCACAATATTGGAGATTGTCTTTTGCTGAAGATGCACATATACCTAGGTGAGCGACATAGGCTTTTTGTTTTGTATTTCATGAAGAAATTTAAAGTTCCCATTG